AGACCAGATTGCTCTGTCCAACCTGGCCTTGGACACTTCCAGAGATGGGGCAGCCCCAGCTTCTCTGGGCAACCTGTGCCAGGGCCTCCCCACCCTCAGATGGTGGTGAGGGACTGGGACTGAATGGATCACAGACTGGTTTGTGCCCTTCTCCCTTCTCCGGAGGCTCTGGCACCTACCAGCAGGACCCTCATGCTGGTCAGGTTGCACGGCTGTGTGGGCTCTCCCACTGAACTTGGAAAGGATTTGCTCACTTCCAGGAAGTCACATTTGCCTTGGACAGCCTGTGCTCCTGGAAAAGATAGAAAAATACATTATTCCTGTGAAAAACCATAGCTGGCAAGGTGTTCCCTAACAGGGTTCATGGCTCTGTCCAGAGCCAGGTAAGTGCAAGACATCAATTCCTACAAATGTTGCAAGAAGAAAAGAAAGGGCAAAGTTGGTGCCAGAATATACTTAATTAAGAAGGAATCTGATGGTTAACTGACAATTAAGCCCTCTCTTTCCCTGTCCTTCCCTTTCTCTATGGCTGGTAGCTCTGTGGAGTCCTGTAGCTGGCAGATAACCAGCTGTCCAAGACAGTGACTGGAGCTGCCTGGAGCACATGTCTTGGACAGCCTGAGCTTTCCCAACTGCAGGAGATAATGCCTTCCTTGCTTTTCTCCCTCACTGCTCTGTTTGGTGAATCCACTCGCAGGGACCTTGCAAGGCCCTGTGAATGAAGGTGTGTCCCATCTCCAAAGTCGTGTGTCCTTGGCGTTTCTTTTTTTGCCTATGGAGAGAAATATTACACATGGAACTTGTTAGGGTAACTCATCTTACATGCACACGTGAAGTGTAAACAATGTGAATGACAGGTTTAGCCATAAGAATATTTTTGCTGATTTAAGTCACCAGCCCTGCCTTCACACAGATTGCAGCATTCTGTCATCACAGGTGTAATTGCTAAAACAACATTATCTGAAATAGCCTTATTTTTCAGCCTTTTAGGAGAAAGCCCCTGGTAAGTCCAGTAAATTCTTTGGAGTCAGTCGAGGAGGTAATTAGGGAATCTCAGTCTGTTGCAGTGTAAGGCCATAAAAAGTGTGTGCTATCTAGAAAGCAGAACATCTGGCAAACAGGCTAATGAGAGCCAGACTGGGGGAGCTCCGAGGCAAATGCAAGAGCTACCCTGTAGAGTTGGTTTATAACTCTTTGAATTTTTAGGAGGTTACTGGTTTGTTGGATAATTTTTATAATTGTTATTTATTTAAACAAGTGCAGTCACCAAAACCCATGAAATTCCGGAGTGACTTCAGTTTGACATATAATAGCTGGCTGGGAAGGGTAATTTATCCCTGGTTCCTCTGGATGTTTTCTGTCCCTTATTCCCCTCTCTGCTCTGCCCTCGAGGTCCCCCATGGCCTTGAGCTCCTCCAAATGAGAGGAATTTGTTTGCTCTCAGCCCATGGAGGGTTTTTCCTTCCCCTAAGCAGGGAATTTGTTTTGCAGAGGGAGAGGTTTGGGCTCTGGAAAGTTTATGCTCCTTCTCTTTCTTTCTTGTTTTTTTGTTTTTTATTGTAATGATGACATATGGAAACTATTTACACAGGAGCATGCTCTGCTGCACTGAATGGAAATGCTGGAGTCCCGGCAGTCTCGTTCCGGATGCCTTGTGTAAGCAGCCAGCTGGTTTTGCTTTTCCTTTTTTTTTTCCTCCCCTCTTTTCTTTTTTTTCCCCCTCCCTCTCTCTCCTTCTTTTCAGGGAACGCCTGGGATAAGTTTACACGAGTGTGGAAGGAAGTTTTTGCCATCTGTGAACAGCTCAGTTCCTTTCCTTTGTCGTGCCCCTTGTACTGCGAACTTCACAAATATCTGTTTTCTTTTTGTGTGCTGGAGATTCCTTGCTGTGACTACTCAGCACTTTCACTCCTTCCCCGTTAGCTGGTGAGCAAGTTCTGCTAAATGCCAAAAAATAAGAGAGCGCTGCACGTGAAGCTTTGCTTTGCCACCACCCTCGTGCCTAAAAGCTCTTTGTCCCGCAGCTGAACCTTCCAAAAACTTGTTCAGACAGCGAGAGGGAAACGATTTCCCTGAGGTCTGAGCCACCTTCCTCAGAGGGGAGGGGAGAAAACGTTCAGTTCTGCAGCGAGCAGAGGAGAAGCTTTTGTGCGTAGCTTTCCCTTGAGGAAGCTGCGAAATCGAGGATCGGCTATCGGAGGGGAGGGAGGGAGGGAAGGAGCAACTTCGGATCTGCCTCGTCTCTCCCTCTGCCCGGCTCCGAGCACAAGCGGCTGCCATGCAGTGGAGAGAGCTGCCTGCCATCTACTTGGAGGATTCCGGGAGCCCTGTGGAGAGATCCTCCTATCTCATTGAGCTCCATACTGATGGTAAACGCCGTTGGGGATGTTCTGCAGCACGAGCGGAGCGGAGGTTGCATTAGTCTGTGTCATTGTTATCATGGGAGCAGCTGAGGAAATTAGCTGGCTGGAGGGCTGCCAAGCAAACAGTCAGAGGCTTGCTCTTCGAATTTATTATTATTTTTATTATTATTTATTACCCAGATGATGCTGCTGCCTCAGGGATGGTAGATCAACCTTCTGGTACCTGATGGGGAAGGAGCTGATCCACAAAATGCAGCTCCCCACTGGAGCACTTCACCAGAACGTTTTCTCCTGTCTGTGCCTGGAAAAAATGATGCCTGGTTTAGACAGGAGGAAAACATCTCGATTCCTAGAGTTATTTTTTTGTTTCTGATTTGCATCTCTTGAGTGTTGTTTTGTATTTGCAACCTTGGTCTCAGTGGGACATCTCTTCTGTTTCAGCTGTGAGTCCTCAGTGGGAAGCACAGAGAGGGGTCCTGGTCCTGGGTTTTTGCTGTGGTGTGTCTTTTCCTAGTGTTGATCCTTTTCAGACAGGTTGATTTTTGCAGGAGAACTATTTCAGGGTTAGAGGTAGTTTTGGCACCTTTTGGCAGGGCACAGTGTGTTGGTGTTCAGGTTAAGGCTACAGACCTTTGCTGATTTGGCCACAGTGTGTTTTGATGTTCTTAAATTGTGTGTATGCTGTAATTTAAAGTCCAGGCTCTGATGATGATGATGTGCTCCTTCTGTAACTCTGGTATAAACATTAAATGTGAAAAGATTTTGCTCTGAGGCTGCAGTGGGAGAGAGTCTGTGAAACACATCCACAACAAAAGCTTTGTAAATAATAACATTTAAGAACTTTTTAGAGCTCTTAATATAACCCTTCTGATTTTTGCATATTGCTGTCATCTTTTAGCTAAAAAGCAGACAAACCAGATGACTGCCATTCCAGTTCTGTGGATAAATAAAAACTCCATCATTCAGTTTTTTTCAAGAACTGTGCTAAATCAAGGGGTGTGGGGGAGGAATCGGCCTCATTCAAACATTTGTCCAGATTTTGAGTGGTATTTTAAGGGTGTGGGGGAAGCAAGGAAGAGAAACAGGCTTCATGCTACAGGATTTTCAGCAATCTGAGTGTGCAATCTGGAAAGTCTTCACAAATCCCAGAGAAATGCTATCTTAATTTGATTTGAGGGTGGAAGAGGCAGATGTGTCTCTGCGTTGGTGAAGGGGTTCTGATTTCTTCCCACTCTGCCTTTCTGCCAGAAGCACATGGTGCCATTTCTCTTGGTGGGTGCAGAGTTTTTGGCACGGGCTCTTCCTCCACTCAAAGGGTGTTCTAGAAAGACTGAATCAGTAATTCAGTGAGGATTATTTTGTCAAAGCAAATCTTCAGCAGGCTGTCATGAGAGAGGAAAAGAACCTCATGGTAATTTTTGCCCACTCTCAAATAACAACTTCTAACACAGAGAGAACAAGCTGCCACACCACAGCCCCTGTGCTCTTAAAAAGGGGGAAATCAGCACTTCTGTGCTGGCAAGATCAATTTTACATGTACCCACTTCAGGAACATGAGACACTGGAGGAGGGAAGTCTCTACTGAGAGCAAGAACAGCCATGTGGTGTGGGAAATGATTGAAACTCTGGAGAGCATGTGGTCAGCTCCACCACAGGTTTTATGCATGGCCCTAAGCAGGTCTCACTGCTCGGTATTTTTTGTCAAACATACGAAATAAAAACCCAAGTCCCAGAAGAAGAAACCAAGTGTCATTCCCTTTTTGCAAAATAATTGTCTTCTGGCATACTTTTTATGTGTCTTAATAGCACTGGGGCTGCAGCATGCAAAAAATGACAATTGTTTTGGAGTTTATATACATGCCCTGTGTAACTCTCCCATGGGAAGGGCACTATGTATGTGCAACTTGGGAGCTGCTTTTTGCAATTGAATTGTATTTTTTTAAATGAAATCTTCAGTTATAAAACCTGGTTCAAATGTTCAGTAAAGCATTGCTTTATAGCACTTTGCTGGTGAGAAGGAAACTTAGAAGTTTCAGAATTAATCTGTGGAATGTGAACAGAAAATTAATCTTGCTGTTTATTTGCATCAGAGGGATGTTGGTGCTTATCAGCATCTCTGGGTGTTGTGAGGATGCATTATTTAGTGACTCTCGAGTGCTGTGAGAAATGAGGCTTTCTACTAAAAGTACTGACAGCTTCAGTGACAGTCCTGTACTCCATCCTTCCGTGGCCTCTCCTACCATGAGATGTGCAAAGGCAGTGCTCCTTCAGCAAACCTTCTTTCGTTTTGTGGGTTGGACATCCTTGGAGACTGGGAGCTGTTACCTGCCTGGTTATAGTTTGTGAGTGCTGATAGCGTGCTTCAAGCATGACAGCACACATCTCCTGAGCCAGGAGACCTGCTTACTGTATTAAATAGGATGCTGCCTCCTTTGATGATCTTCCGGGAGCTGAAGCGCCGAGTTTGAGTGTCTCTTAAAAGCTCCTACCTGGGAAGAACCAATTTGTCAGTGTACAAGCTGCCAGTTTCCTGGCTGCTCTGCCCTGTCCTGATGCCTGTCTCTGATCCCAGTGCCTCCTGATCAATCCCAGCTGGCCTAATTGTGAATCCCTGTTTTTCCCTGTGTCCTGATGCAGATGGAGGCAGCTATGACGTTGTCCATGATGCCTCCAGCCCCGCGGCGGGGGACTGCTGCGCTCAGCAAAGCACCGCCCGGCACAACTGGGAGATGAACTACCAAGAGGCAGCCATCTACCTCCAGGTGAGCCCCTGCTGCGTGCTGAACTGTGGGGGAAGTGCCCTTCATGAGCTGTGGTGGTTCTTGGCTGTAAGGAACAAAGAGCTTCCATTCTGAGGTTAAAAATTTGGTGCTTTGCAAAGGATTCTGCTTGAAGAGCGGGGTGATGCTCCAGATGGGGTAGTCATTTGGAGGCAACTGAACTACCCACCCTCTCCAAGTCTCCCAGTGTCAAAGACTGTAGTGGCTGAGGGATTCAGCACATGTTCAGTTCTGTCACCTTGCCATGGAGATTTTTGTAGCTGGTCATAGATCATCATTTCATCTCTGCGGTGAATGGTCGGTGCTCCCATGTTCTGGAAGTGCAGGTCCTGATCCTGCCTTGGCCACAGGTTGGGTGGGTGGCCCTGGGGTGTTTGTTTAGTGTCAGTCAAGTCCTGCAGGTCATGTAAGGCACGAGAGAAGGTAGAGGTCTTGGTTTCTACAGGAAGAAAGCATGCTGGGATTAGGATCAGCCCAGGAGGGAAGTTTACTGTATATAAAAAGAAAAAAGAGAAAACCCAAACAAACCCCAGTACAGGAAACACCATCCTTACTTCAGCAAAGGGACCACATTTTTAAGATCACTGTACAGTCTGGTGTAATGAATTAGCCACCAAAACTGAGCTTCTCCCAGAGGTATCCAGTCTGAAATGATTGCTGGTTCCCTTACTGTCTGTCCCACTTCCTTCTCTTTGTTCCCTTTCCAAGCTCTGCGTGGCAGCTTGAGGTGTTGGACCCAGTTTAGTTTTTCATTTAAGGCACTGCAAGGTGACAGAAACCATTTGTTTCTCCCTGTTCTGACCCTATAGGACTAAGAAATCTCACTTGCCACATATTTTAAAACTGTGTAGCCTGAACCTTGGCAATACTTGAGCTTCATGGTATGCTGGAGCAGCCCTGACAATGGAATGGTGGCTCCAACCCCTCCTGGGGTATTGTTTAAACTCCTGATTATTGGAGCAGCTCTGCAAAGGGTCATTGAGCTGCTGCAGCTCTGATGGTAATGGACACAGCAGGCCTGGCCCTTCAGATGCAGATGATTCTTGCTGCTGCCTTGACCAATGGCCACGATGACACCGTCCTTGAAATGAAGTAGAATCCCTTAAAGAGCCTGCAGAGTGTTCATGTGAACAGTAGCTGCAGGCAAGTGTTGTATCTGGATAAGAGGGCTTTGCTGTCCAGGCACGTTTGGAATTGCTTGGCTACCAAGAGGCAGGATTTAGACTGCTTTTCATTCTGCAAGTGTGTTTTGCCAGGCGTGAATGAGAATGCCCTGCTGATCCCAGCCTGGGCTCTTTCGGGGGGGCTGGTGTTGATGGAACTCACTGCTGGGCTCTGCCCCGCTCACAATCTGGCTCCCTGACCCAGCAGGGTTTGTTCTGAAACACGAGATGAGCTGGAATAAATGAGAAACATTTGAAACCCTCTTCTGAATGAGTCTGGAGAATGCTTCACTTCTAAAGGAGAGCTTCCTGACCTCGTTATCCATTTGCAATCACAGTTATTCCGCTTTGATAGTAATAGTTTGACTGTCCTTACAGTAATTGCTTACCTCGAAAGATGTTAATTTAAAAAAAAAATCCACCACTTCTTGTGCATCCTTGTGTCCCAGCTGGGCTAAAATGATCTCTTATGACGGTTCTCAAGAGGCAGCAAGTTTCCTGTGAGTGGCAGAGACTTCCTTGCCAGAACTCTTGACTCAAAAAAGAGAAGAAGCTGTTGGGTGGTTCTGCACGAAAAGCCTCTAAATTTTCCCCAAACTAAGTTTCATCCTAGGGGTAAAGATAGTGACGATGTAGCTGTTTGAAAATCAGTCGTAGGCAAAGTGTTGAGATGGAGTATCTGACCTTTTAATGTTAATTAAGCTTTCTAGGTGAGAGGGAATGACAAATCAGCGTAGAGGCTTGTTAATTTTTCATGGAGTCTGTCTTACGTTCCTGAAGCAGAAAACACTTTGTGGGCTTCAGTGTTTTCTCCCAGACATTTTGCAAGGCCAAGATAAGGAGGAGCAACTGTCAGCCAGGTGCCCTGGAGCTTATCTGGGTGTTTTTGTGTTCTCTTGGAGAAGTTTAATGAAATAAGTCTGTAAATATGTGGAAATAGTTGCAAGTAAATGAAGTGCTGTGTTTATGTTGGAATGTTGACTGAAGTTTCTTTGCCTGCCTTTATAAACTCTTGCAGCTCTCTTCCTGCTTCTCAAAAGGCTCAAGGGTGTCTGAAGCAGGAGTTTGTGAATATTAGTTAAGTTTTATTACTGAGATATGCTTATAAACAGAAGGGAACATTCTTCAATAAACAGATCAATGGCAGGCTGTAAGTGGGAATAGTCTGTTGGGAATTGTATCTAATCCTTATAAAAATCTGTGTTCTTCATGTGGAAAACTCCGTTATAGCACTGAGAGTCACTAATGCTGTTCTCTTCTTTATTCCTGCCGCCCTAGGAAGGAGAAAATAATGATAAGTTCTTCACTCACCCCAAAAATGCCAAAGCACTCGCTGCCTACCTCTTTGCACACAACCACCTTTTCTACCTGATGGAGCTGAGCACGGCACTGCTGCTCCTGTTGCTGTCCCTCTGCGAGGCTCCAGCGGTCCCTATGCTCCGTCTGGGCATCTTTGTAAGTACTTTGGGGCAAAATGAAGAAGTCTGCTTGCTCTGCAGCGTGGGTAAGAGGAAAAAAGAAGGTCAAACAGAGAGGAAGAAGGAGGCACTAAGAGGAATAAACCTACCTGGCTTGTTCTGTGAGTTGTCAGCAGATAGGAGAGCCAGCAAAGCTTCCTTTTTCCATGTGATGTGCACAGACCACAATGAAAGTGACACGTATTTTGTATTATCAATTTGTGCAGTTCTTAAATTTTGTAACAGAAGTGTGTGGTTTTTCTTTCTTCTTGAGATAACTCAAGAATCTGTGTGCTTTGGGGTGGTTTTTAAGTCGTTGTCAGGGTTGGTGCCGTTACCCCAGCCTAGAACACAAAGATGTCAGCCTGGGACAGGTTGCTAAACCTTCTCCTGTCCTCTCCTCCCAGTGTTATGAGGACTCTTTTTAATCAGTGTGTGAGTGACATGAAGTTTTATGTCCAAGCTGCACAAAGTGCAGGTTGAGAGAAGGGATAATACACAAACTGGTGTGTTCCTCTGTGAGTCCACATCCACTTCGTGAGGTCCCACTGTCAGGCACAGTGCTAAGAGCTGCTGTTGTTCGTGAAAGAATCTACTGCTGCTTTTGGAGCTTTTATGGCACCTTAGGACCATGCCAGAGGTGTAAACCAGCCTTGATAACCCTGGGGTCCTCAAAATGAGTCAGGGCTGCACAACTCAGTTTGGGTTTTGAGTTGTGACTAAAACTGAGGTGGTACGAAAATCCCATTGTCTTCTTTGTGGTGGATTTTGCATCTTCCAACAGAGAAGGGGCCCTTCAGCACTGCACAGAGCATCATTGTGATCCAGAGCTTGATCAGGACCCTCTCTGTGGTTGTCCAGAATGTCTAGTTCAAGGGAAAACTCTCCTCTGTGTAAATTCTTCCTGCCTCTGTTCCTGTGTTTCACTAAAAAAATTACAGTCTCAATTTTTTTTAGAAGTGTTTCTGCTCAAGTTACTGGTGTCTTGCCCTTGTGTTTCAAATGTATCAGTAAGTTTTTTGAATGTGTTGCTCAAGTCCAAAAGGGACAAGGATTTCAGGAAAATCTGGCCTGATTAGAGGAAAATTGTACAGGCTTTAATGAAAGCCCAAAGCAGTAAATACAGAAATTTTGAAAACCAGTGCTGTGCTGGCTTTAAAAGAGTGGCCTTGGGTTTTCCTGTGTGCTGTGCTTAGACTGTTGTGCTTCTTGAAAAAGGAGGGGCAGAAGTGTGGCCTTTGCTGTGCTGCTGTTTACAATCAAACCTGTGTTGTGACAGGTCCATGCAACCCTGGAGCTGTTTGCATTAATCGTGGTCGTCTTTGAACTCTCCATGAAGATGAGGTGGCTGGGCTTCCAAACCTTTATCAGGCACAAAAGGACTATGGTAAAGGTAAGTTGTCAGTGTTTCCTCCTTCAGCATCCAAAGAACCAGATTAAATGTTGGCCTGCACTGCAGCAGAGCTGACGTAGCCGCGTGTCCCAGCTGCCAGATGATTCATGTGAGATCTCTCAGCTCTCAGGGACACCTCCCATCCCTTAAAGCATCCAAATAAACAGGTGGTCAGCGAGAGCTTTGCCTTTCCCAAAAGGAGACTGCAGCTGTGCCTCTCATCACCCCCCTTTCTTGCAGACCTGCGTGCTGTTTGTGCAGTTCATAGAGGCCATCGTGGTGCTGGTGCGCCAGACCTCGCACGTCCGGATCACCAGGGCCCTGCGCTGCATCTTCCTCGTGGACTGTCGCTACTGTGGGGCTGTCAGAAGGTGATGCTCAGCTGGGTGTTCTGCTGTGGTGCCTGGGGCTGGGCTGGAGGAAAAGCACTCAGATCCTTCAAGCATCCCGGGAAAACCAGTGTCTTTCACAGGCATTTCAAATCTTGGAGATATTTTAGTTGTACCTCGTGTGGATTGCTCACAGCACACAGTGCTGGCCTCACGTGTACAAACCACCTCACAGAGCCCAGCACATGAGTGTGGCTGCATTGCCTCCCTGATTTGCCTGTAAGCTGCACAATGAATCAGAGTTAGTCTGAAGAGGGAGAGTTGACAGTGTGACATTAGTATTGTTTGCAGTACCTGAGAGCTGACTGCGAAGGACAGATGGGTAGCTTGGAAACCATCTTAATTTAGCAAGCCTTCTACTTTTAATCCTTGGAGGGAGTGGGAAGAAAGCCCTCAAGTGTGATGTGGTGGTGGTTGGGTTTTTTTTCCCCCTGACAACCTGGAGGAGTAAACGTGCAAGTTTTAGTTTATTAATGTTTTCTTATTTTTCAGAAATCTGCGACAGATCTTCCAGTCCCTCCCACCATTTATTGACATTCTTCTCCTCCTCCTTTTCTTCATGGTGATTTTTGCTATTCTAGGTAAGTTTTATTTATGGAAGGTGAAGTGATGCTCTTAACCAGTTATTGTCCAAAATCAACACCAACAGCTTGGATGAATATAAAGCTGATCATATTCAGAGTCCTGCCAGGATCTTCCATTTATCCCATTTCATCCACAGTCATCTGGAAGGCAGAATTAAAGATCAAAAAAATCTGGAAGCTGGGTATTTGATTTTGAGGCAATCTAGAAGATTTTGACCTCTTCCAGAGCACAGTCAGTGGTGTGTGTTTCCAACTTCTGCTTCCATCACCTGTTCCTCAATCTTGTTAGTTTAGTTTACATCCCCACAAATGCAAATGTCTGCAGTGTACCTGGTACAGTCCAAACCATGCCCAGAAGGTTTGTTTTCCAAAAGGATCAGTGACATCTATTGGCAAATCTCTATGGAGAAGGCCTTTCAGATACTCCCATCTTCATGGTGTCAGAGAGGACTTACTGTTAGTTTAATCTTCTCTTTGGGAATTGCTTTGCTGCTTGACATTAAACAGACTTTATTTTTGTTTGTTCTTTCCCTCTGTCTCTCCTCCTCTACCTTCTCTGCTGCTTCTTTAGGTTTTTATTTGTTTTCTCCTAACCACTCCGACCCGGTGAGTATCTTGACTCTTTCAGCTGCAGCTCGAGTCTCATTTGACATGCCTAAGGCTCAAACATTACTGTGCAGGCATGGCTTATTCCATGTGATCCCTGGGAGACCAGGTGCCAGCCGGTCCAAGGCTGCCTGGCAGTGTCACCCTGCTTTACTCCCTACTGGGAAGGAAGACTGTGCAGGGAACTGCCTCAAAGACAGGGTGTCCCAGAGGGGATGTTCACAGAGACTTGTTCCTTGTTCTTGATGTCTTAATTCAGTCAAAAGAGCCACCTGCCACTGTCCCCAGGGAAGGAGGTGTCTGGGTGAAAGCTCGGCTGCTTCCGCTGCGGCGGTTGGAGTCCAGCAGGTTCCTGCTGCTGCCCAGGCTGTGGCTTGCTGGGAGTAACTACCACCAAAAAGCATAGATAAGCTTTTGTTTTAACCCTTAATCTTTGTCAAGGGACTTTAAAAAGGACCAGTGCAGAAGTACCTTTCCCTAGGGAAGGCATCAGGGAGCTGTGGAAGCGCAAGTGGGTGGGTTGGTTGTTTTTTGAACGAAATGTCCCCGTGAAATTCTGCTTGCGTTTTGTCATGGGAGCTTTTTCTTTCAGTACTTCAATACTTTAGAGAACAGCCTCGTGAACCTCTTCGTGCTTTTGACCACTTCAAAGTAAGTTCATGCTCTTCTAGTTAAGTCTTTCCCTTTGTCCCAAAGGAGTCTAGCAGAGCCGAGAGTTTATCTGCAGAAACACTCTGTCTCCAAATGTGTGACCCCTTTCCTCTGTGTCAGAGATTTCCAGTGTCAGCCTGCATGGGAAGAACTGGTATTTCATTTTGCTTTAGGACACTGTGACCTCAGCTGCAGAGTTATCTCTGAGGACTCAGACTGCTTCATCACTGTGAGGGCAATAAGGGGGGAAACAGCTTTATTAGGCCTTGACCCAAGAAGGGAAAGTTTCTATTTGTGCTCTTTTGTCAGCCAACAGTTGGCTGTTGAGAAGTAACTTCCTATTCCTCTGCTTCAGTTCACTTATCTGCTAGGAAATTGGTATAATAACAGTGGGTAAATATTGGTCTGCTGTCAGGGGGAGCTCTCATGATTAGGAAATTAGCAGAGGATGGAATAAATCTGAGGTTGTAACACTTACACCGAGGCTCTATTGCTGCTGTTGTTAAGTATCAAAGCACAACCCTTAGCCAGGTCACAAATCCCGTTTGGTATTTGGGATGTGAAAGGAATTTGAATTTCAGAGTGCTTTCCTTATTTATTTCTTTCGTCGTGCCCCCATGTTCTTGCTGCTCATTGCTGGGCACAGAGTTCTGTGTCATGAGCAACGACACATTTTGCAGAAATGTGCAGATCTTTGGATATGAGTTTACACACACACACCCCCCCGTGTCCTGTGCCTCTTGCCTGTGTAGTGGGAAGTGTAACATGAGCTATTTGGTGCTTAAACTTGTGTCCTTTGGGATACAGTTTCCCTGATGTGATGATGCCGTCTTACGCCCGGAACCCCTGGTCCTGTGTCTTCTTCATCGTGTATCTCTCCATTGAGCTGTACTTCATCATGAACCTGGTGAGTCCCCTGTGAAGCTCTTGACTTCTCTCTGCCTGATTTTGGAGCTCATTGCCCAGCAGAGTCTTCCCCACTCCCAAAAGTGCTCTATAATAATCTCAGACCCTTTGTCAGAAGACTTGTAGAAGTGGCAGCTTTGCTACAGACAGGACTCTTTTAGTGTTTAACCGCGAGGAATTGAACTAAATCACAGAAAACCAAATGATACGAGCATCTTTCAGCTTCTCTCACATTAATATTGTGCTTGGAGTGACATACTCACTTGCATGGAATTTATTGTCCTTCTCTGTCTTAATTATTTATCATAAAATGGCATTTTATTATCTGGGCTCGCCTGAAATACTTTGTAAATCAGTTTGAAGGGGATGGAATTACTCAGTGTGGCAGGGCTTGAGTGCTGATCACTGCAGTGCGAGAGCACGGCTGCTCAGGGGAGGATGTGACTGGTGGAAAAGGGTTTGCCAAAGGAGTTGGGGAGTTCTGCAACCCAAGGTGAGGGATTTGATGCTTTTGGTGGGCTTGGATTTCACTGCTTGTGTCCTAGATAGAGGGTCAGCTTTGACAGTTGTTAGCCAAAGCTCCCTCCCGTGGCAGGGTGAGTGCAGAGAGCAGCCCTCAAAACCTGCTTTCCAGGAACGTTTTAACAAACCTGATACTGTTTTCTGTTGGCACGTGTGTGGTTTAGCCTTAGCTGTTAAAACCCACTAGCAAGTGTTGAGAGGCCAGAAACACCTGGACCTCCTCCAAAAAGTGGATGAGTGTGTGTGCAGTGAGCCTGAGGATCCCTTTGTGGGATCCCTTATGCCAGCGAGACCTCACTGGCTCCATTCTGCCTCAGCCAGCGCTCAGTAAATTCCTGCTGCAGGCAGGATATTCCCACCTGTTTGGGAAGCCCTGGCTCAGGTAGCTGCAGAGCATAAGGATCAAATCACGACTTTCTCTCCTGTCTTCCCTCTCAGCTTCTCGCTGTGGTGTTTGACACTTTCAATGACATCGAGAAGAGGAAATTCAAGTCCCTGCTGCTGCACAAGCGCACGGCCATCCAGCACGCCTACGGCCTGCTGGTCACCAAACAGGTACAGGGCTCTGCCAGCTGCCTTAGCACCACCACTGGGCTGGAGTGTTTAAAGGGCACGTTCCAAAAAAGGTGATTTGTGTCTGTTGGTTGTAATGATACTCACCAAGGGCTACTGGTTTTTGCATTTGTGTAACTCGTACTCAGTACTCTGAATTTCAGCTTTTTTGGCTTGATAAAATCAGTGAAATTTTTTTCTGGAGTGAATGTGATCATTGCTTTCTCTCTGATTCGGTTTGGGTCACTTGAGGACTTGCTTGACTTACTCAGGCACCACTACTGAGAGGAGGGGTGGGTCATACAAGTAAAGGTACATCCAGTTGCTGGATCCTGCACGAGTAAATGGTGTAGAAATAGGAGTAATTCACCTACAAACAACTTATTACAAGCACTTGGGAGAGAAGGTTGATTTCTTGCTTAAGTTGTGGAGCAGCATGAGAAATAAGGCCCAAAAATAACTAACCCACTTCTAGTAGATTAGTTCATGATTAGTTCACATGGCTGATAGTCTTAAAAAAGTGCCAGTAATGGGATCTGTTAGGCTGTCTGCTAATTGCCCAAGAAGAGGGGTTGAATTCTGCTTGGGGTGCCTGGTTGGACAATTTTCAGGCAATGGGACAACAGGGAACAGTTCTGCATTTGCTGGAGGGACCAATTGCCAGGAGAGCTTCTGATCTCTGTGCCCTGGGATAAGTTTGATACGTTGAAGTAATAGCTTAGGGTACTTTGGGGGCTCAGTTATAATGTATGAAATCCTGCTTAAAATAAATCCAGAGTGAGAATTAAACGCCCTTGCCTCTGCATATTCCTGCCTGATGTCACTGCTTATGACAACATTCCTTTGTTTCCAGAGGCCATCTGGAATTTCCTTCAGGCACTTCGAAGGCCTGTTGCGGTTCTACAAGCCTCGGATGTGTGCCAGGGAGAGATATCTCACCTTCAAAGCACTGAATCAGAGCAATACTCCTTTAGTCAGGTAGGATGGTGTTCCTGCTGCACCCAGAGCAGGGAGGTTGCTCCACTCCCTGACGTTTGGCTGGGCTTCCTAGCGGGTTTATGGAATGAGGGTTGTTGTCTGAGATGTGGGAATAGAGTTATGCGATGGAAGGGATTTGTCTGGGAAGCAGGAGCTGGGAGGGGTGGGTGCCCTGAGAGCTGAGGTTTTCCTTTGGATGGAGTTCCTGCATGCCCTCTTGTGGATACAACGCTGTGCTGGCACTCACAGGCAGGATCTGCTTCCCACTCCCCTGCCAGAACAGAGGAGCCAGAAACTAGGGAACAGCACAAGAGCCTGCGAGGAGATTTCTTCACACAGCGCAGCCTCGCAGCTTAACAAGTTTTTGCTTTTTTCCAGCAACTGGCTGTTCCCCCCAGGGTTTTGTTAATTAAAATCTGGTTCTGCTGGTGCTTTCAGGGCTGCCATTCTCTGTGTTATGAGGCAGAGAATTGTCATTCTGGTGGGTGGGTGCAGCTGACACCAACCAGCAAGGAAGCAGAGGGAATTAGAGCAGGAGATCTTCTCCTCCTTTTCCTTTGTTCTGGCCACAGACAGGCTTGGAGTGAGTCTCCCATGAAACTGGTGCCGATGCTTCTCCTTGAAGTCAAGTGCCACGGAGAAGTATTGAAAATGGCATAGGGAGAAAGGCTGAGTTCTTAAATTTAGGCACCTAATGACACCAGCAGGAGTCTGAGAAGTTCAGCATCCTCGCTTTCAGACTCCTAAAAGCTGTTACAGGCCTGACCCCGAGCACCTAGACAGGCACTCATGTTCTATGAGTTTCTTTGCTTTCGTGTCCTTTTTTCAAACTTCATTGTTACCTTGAAAAGAAAATGTGCAAAGATGTTAGAAAAGGGCTGTATGAGTAATTAAGGCAGTAGTCCAAGACTTCTGCGTGAAGAGCAGTGCAATCTCTATCCCTTGGAGTTGTCATCTAAGCCTCAGGTCTTTTCTTTCAGTGGTAAAATTCTGGAGTTCAGTAGAGTCAGAGTTTCCTTTAAGGGCTGAAGTGTTACAGAAAGGAGATTCTGGCTATTGTCAGTCAGGAACCTTTGGCCAGACCGGGAAGAGGTCAGTGTTGAGTTCTGTCAGTTGTGGCTGCAGTTCTAATAAGGAGTTAATAACTTCCAGGGACTCTCTGCTGCTGATGACAAGGACACTTAAGAATCTAGTCAACCTCAAGGCTCTGATCAGATGTTTCTTTCTGTTTTGCAGTCTGAAGGATTTTTACAATTTCTATGAAGTTGTTGGCTTAAAATGGAAGGTGAGTCTTTGTTGGGTGGAGAAGAGGGGAAGTGTGTGTGGGAGGGAGAGCAAAGGAGACCAGTGGTTAGAGAGAAGCTGGGTAAGAAATAAAGGCAGTTGAAAAGAAGCAGATGAAGGGGATAAGGTGGGTCTCCATCCCTGCCCTTTTTTTGTGTGTGGATGTAGCACTGGCTGCTGCTGATCGTGGTTGTTCTGCTTCCAGGCGAAACGAAACCGCGAGCACTGGTTTGATGACCTTCCACGGACAGCATTCCTCATTTTTAAAGGTAACAGGCTGTGTTTTCATGGCAACACGTGTTCAACTAACAGGAAATCATTTCTTTACAAAGACAGGGCACTCTGAGGGGACTTTCTCTCATGTCCCTGGTAAACAGCCGAGGGAAGGCCTACTAACCAACTCCCTGTGTATCCAGAGCCTCCAAGGAAGATTTCTGTCCTGTAAATATTCCCCATGCTCTGACCCAAACCCTGGCTTCCTGAAAATAAGAGGCTTCTTGGCAGAAGCTCCATATTAAATCAGCCCCTGAAGTCATGCAGGACTGTATTCCTTTCTCAGCACAGAGGTTAGGTGGGGTTTTTCAATTGCTGAATCCAGGAGAGTTCCCAGAGTTTCTCCATATTCCAGACAGCAGTGACTGTGGAGAGGGATTCAGAACTAGTACATAAGGACCAAAAAAGGCACCTCAGGGATTAAGGATAGTGAGTTCACTGCTGCTAAAATTTTAGGGGATATTTGAACTTCGTCCCAAGGAAGTGAAATTTAATAATCTGCTGATCTGTTCTGCTGAGGATTGGTATGAAAAATGTCCCTAGGGGGAAGATAGAGGAATCTATGGTATGGAGGACTGTGTAAACATTTTTTTCACCATACTTTCCTTCGTGCAGGCATCAACATCCTTGTGAAGTCCCGTGTGTTCCAGTACACCATGTGTAAGTAGAAGTAATGAGCTCCCTTGCTGATGTGGGTCTGGTGTGCTTTGTCTGCATGGTGTGGCCTGGGCTGTGGTCTGGGCCATGGCTCATGTACAAATTTTGGAGTTTTGGTGGAGAGGGAGGGAATTGTTTACTTGTACCAACCACTGCTGCAGCCTGGGTTCTCAGCTCTCGCTCTGGAGAGGCTCCCAGGGTCACTGCACAACACTCCTGTGGGTCTGGTTGCATTTAGGTAGGTTGGTGGTGAGCTTTCCCAAGCTTGGGGGTTTTATCCATCAGCTGAAGGATGCTGGATAAGGAACTGCCTTGCCAGTCAACCACATTCTGTTTGCACTCCAGGAGGTGCAAGTGTCCTCACTGCTGGAGGGATTGCTTGGCAGCTGTGCTGCCTGTGAGGAAGAGCCTGTGCTCCTCTTCTCTAGAGGAGAAAAACTGCTTCCTCTTGGTGCTACCTGCTGTGTTCTAAATGATCTCTTCCTACTTAGTGATTTGGGGCTTTTTTGAATGTTGGAGGAGTAGTTTTTATAAATTGGGATGTTAAACTAAAGAGGGGGGATGGAGTGAGGTCTGAATGAAAAGAAGTCCTGCAGCTTCAGATTTGAATGCTGGAGAGCAGTTATAGATCCAAATGGAAAGGACTTTGTCCTGCACTGTTGGGGACCCAGTGGTTCTCAAAGTCTTGTTCCAGAACTAGGAGGAAGCTGGAATACACGGCTAATAATGTGGCAGAATATAAGATAATTATGAGTAAAAATGATTGAACATGGTTCAGACTGTTGTTTTGGTTTAGTTTGGTTTCCTTCTGAGGATGAAAGTAGTGCATCTGTTAATGGCCTGGGAAAAGTCAGGGTAGGAGACTCTCCCAGTTTATGAGTTCTGTTTGAATTGAATTGGAAACAATGACCTTGCCATTTGTCCTATATTGTACTTTTTTGTTAGCCTAGGAAATGGATGTCCTCTGGTCCAGGAGTGGCTTTGCTATGGGTTTTTACTTTGTTTTCCAGATACTGTGGTGGCTGTGAATGGAATTTGGATTCTTGTTGAAACCTTCATGCTGCAAGGTAGGAAACATCACAGCTTGTTTCTTGACTGGGATGCTGGAGGGTTGAAAAAAGGGAAGGCTAGAGAAAGCTGTTCTTTTGTCTTGCAGGTGGGAATTTCTTCTCCAGGAACGTCCCATGGAGCTACATAGTCTTCCTCACAAGTAAGCTGATGCCTCCCAACACAACTGTCTCATTTCATGAGGATTTGGGAGGGGAATTGAAGTTATACATTAGCCACAGGCATAGAGCCTCCCTCCAGAACAATGCTGTGCCTGGCAGGGATCACCAGCATCCTCTCAGCCCTGTGTGAGCACTGCTGCACTGCCCCACAGCTCTCTGTGTCACGTCATCTGGGAGCCTCTTACCCCTGCTGCAGCTCTGCAGAAGCTGCTGTGTGACTCTTGGAGCTGGTTTGAGCCCAGAGAGCAGAGAAGCCTCATCTGTCAGGCACAGCGTGCAGAGTGAAAAGGTTTCCAGGCTTGTGATGGCTCTGTGGGAGGTTGCTCTGTGCTGCACCAGCTATTCCAGGAGGCATTCCCAGCTCTGATCTGATTGCAGCTGCGAGCTGGCTCTCTGCCACACACAGCAAGGCAGGCCTGGTGGAGTACAGAGTGCAGGGACGTGCTGAGGAGTCTGAAAGCACTGGATGAGCTACTTGACAAGCTGAATTTTCTAACTGAACGTCATCCCCTCCATGAACATGTACCTTAATCTTCCTTTCCAGCCCAAGTATAAACAATTACATCTTCATGTGCTGGTTCATTGCACTGTGATGTGAGTTCACTTCCATGCTGCTGACAATGTCTCTTGCTCAGGGAGAAACAAAGTATAGCTCCATTGAATCAAAACAGTGTGTACAACTGCAGCAGGAGGTTCTTTGGGAGGTTGCTACCTCTTATGTGGCTGCTGGGGAGCTCTAGTGCTTCCCTGGCCATTAGTCTTCAAAACACTCGTTATGGAAGTTTGAAGGCAGAGGTGCTCTGCAATTCCTCTTCTCACAAGGATGTCATCCAGCTCTTCCCTTTGCTTCTCACCCACCTCTGCTCCTTGGAAGCTGGAAAGAAAGATTTTGGGATGACATACTTGCTATTATGATGTTCTTTAACCTACAGGTCCTGCCAGAACAGAGTGTGAAGTAAATGGCTCTTCCTTGGATCTCTCTCTCCCTGTAGGTCAAGGCGAGGCTATGGGATGTGGATATGTTCCACAAAAATAGAAGGAAGCAATAAGGCAGGACCGAATTCCCAGCACCCCTTTCTGGCTTTTGCTACAGGAGCTTGTCCCTCAACATTTATAGCATGTTTTCCAGCTCAGTGTTTTGTGCACTGTTCTGGAGAGAAGTCACCATGAGTAACAGGAAAATGTGTTGATTTGGAGGGGAAATGTCTCTTTGGCACCTCACTGAGAATCAGGAGGGTGGGTGGGAGTCTGTTAAACCTCTGTCAGAAGTTCTGCTCTAGAAGCACCACACATCCATGAGGACAAACCTTCTCATGAGCCTTCCTTGTGATGCTGCTCCTTCCTGACCGTGGCTCTCCTCTTGTCTTACAGTCTATGGTGTGGAGCTGCTCCTGAAGACCACTGGGCTGGGGCCTGTGGAGTATCTGTCCTCAGGCTGGAATCTGTAAGTGCACACTCACGTTTTTGGGTTAGAAAGACCCAACTTCTGAGTCTTTAAGCCTGTAGAGAAGGCTGTGAGCAGGCTTTTATAATTCTTCTGCCCTTGGCCTCGTGCATCTCGTTAGGCTGGAGCAGCACCAATAGCTCTTCTCTGCAGAAACACTAGTGATAAATCACTGCTCTTACCTCATTTTATATTTTTCTTTCCAGCTTTGACTTCTCAGTCACCCTGTTTGCATTTCTGGGGCTCATGGCCCTGGCGTTTGACATGGAGCCGTTCTACTTCATCGTGGTCCTGCGGCCCCTCCAGCTGCTGAGGTGAGCTGGGAGGGCTGGGGGGGGATCCAGAGGGCAGGTGGGAGGAAACAGCCAGGCTTGTTTTCCATCAATCCCGTTGGGGACCGAGCTCCTTACCAGGAGAGGGCAAGGATTGCTCTGTGGGTATGTGACCATGGCAAGCAGGAATTGCGTGGGGTAATGAGATTAAGCCAGAGTTATCAAAATGAACGATAACAAAAAACTTGGGATGGGATATGAAACCCCGTGCTTTGGAGCTTAAGCTGATCTCTAATAGAGATCAAGGGATTTACCAGGGGCAGATTATCCTGTGTCTGCCTTCGTGGGGTTCTTACACCTCCTCTAAATTGTCTGATGCTGTTCAGAGAAAAGCTCTTCTGTCAGGGTGAGACGGTCTGAGCCAGTTTAATAATTTCCATTGAATTACCAGAAATTACAGTTTTCAAAGGATGCTGCTTTCTAGGGTGAAGTACAAGCCCTGCTCTAACTGCATCTCACACTTTAAGCAAGACCACAGCCTGTAACCTCTCTGCAGCTCAGTGAGCAGGGGCTGATTAACCCTCTCGTGTCGAGGTACATTCACCTTCACAAACACCTCAAGAGCCATAGAAGGAAGGGATTTGAGGCAAAATGTTTTGATAAAAACAAGCTAATGTAATTTAGCTCTTCAGTGAGGATTTAAAGAACACTTTATGACACTCAAGGGGGAAAAAAAAATGTTTTCTCAGTTCCTCCCCTGCCAAGGCCTGTTTGGCAGCTGTGTTTCTCTGTAAAGGCTGATGGAGATGCCAAATCTTAAATTAGCAGGCACAATGTAGTTTTCTTTCATCAATTTTTACTGGGTCATGGGGGAAACACAGAAAAGCTTGTGTCTGAGGGAAGGAGGAATGAATCCTGTACACAGGACTTGTTTAAGTTCTTATGATTTTTAGGTTTTTTAAAGAGCTATTTATGCATCGTGCTGTGTAAAAAGACAGAGACATTTTCCTTGAGATCCTCAATCCTGTCAGCACTTAGTTGAATGTGCCATAAACAGTCAGATGGGACAGCAGGGCATCATTAGGTGAGTGGAGACCACTCGAGCAAGAGCAGACCCCGTGAGTTTGGTGTCAGGAAACCTTGCTGTCGTTGACCTGAGAGGAAGAGAGAGCTGGGGTACCCCCTTTAACTGTTTCCCCTGACACCAGGAGAGCTGCAGGGTGGAGGTAACTCCTGACTTCTCTTTCCAGGTTATTTAAATTGAAGAAGCGCTACAGGAACGTCCTGGACACCATGTTTGAGTTGTTCCCTCGGATGGCCAGGTACCAGCTGCTTGTCTTTGGGTGGTGGTGGGGAGTGGAGGTTTAGTGTCCAGGGCTGGGATCAGGACAAGGAGCTGTCAGACCTGCTAAAGGGATTTATGCTCTGATCTGCCAGTAGGTCGTTACTGACTCTTCACTGTGCTGCAGTGGGGTGTTAAATCTTCCAGTTTCTTGGAGCAGTGTATGATAAGCAACACTCCAGCACCCTGTGCCTCCCCCTGCTTTTGTGTTAAGAGTATAACTAAGGGTAAATGCGTGTTTTAATTTTTCTCCCCCATCCCAGCTCTTGCTGAGAGGGGAGGCCCATTTGGGAGGAACATTGGCATGAATATACTGAGCCCCAGATGTTTCCCTGTCCTCAGCAGAGCCACTCAAGAGCATTATTGAAGTGGTGGGGCAGAGGGAGGTTGGTGTTTGAGTGGGGCATCCTCAGCCCTGATTCCCTTGCAAGGAGGTCTGAGCAGAGCGTGTTGGCTGGAGAGCCCTGCTCCTGGCACAGTCCCTGCACCCGGGGATGTGGAGAGGGCAGAAACAGTGTGTGGTTTCTTTGTTAAAGAAACTGTGGAGAGACGTTTTTGTAACAGAAAAGGACAGGCTGGGAGAGAATCCAGGCTGCTCTTTAGTTTCTCTCTTCAGCAAGTGGCAAGTTCCTTGTCCAAGGACTTCTTGAATGAGAGCAGGCAAAGAACTGCAGAGCCACAGCAGTATGGGGGGGTTGTGTGGGGTTTTCAGTGCTGCTTCCCATCCCCTGGAAATTCCTTCCAGAGCAACCAGCCTGGGATTTTGTGTTTCCTTGCCTTAGCAACTCTTCAGTAGCACAGTACTCTTTCTGTTTTTGCCTCCAGTCTGGGTTTAACCCTGCTGATCTTCTACTATTGCTTTGCCATTGTTGGCATGGAGTTCTTTGCTGGTGTGGTCTACCCAAACTGCTGCAAGTGAGTACCTCAAATCCATCCCCCCCAGCAGTGCTTTGGTGCTCAGCCAGCAGCAGTGAGCTCTGGCAGCTCTATTTCCCTGTGGAGAAGGGGCCAGAGGATGGGGCTCAGTGGGGGTTTTGTAGCTCAGGCGACACGTGGTGAAAATGCAGGACGTGCTTCACTTCTCTTGTTCCATCCCTGGAAGTGTCCAAGGCCAGGTTGGATGGGGCTCTGAGCAACCTGGTCTAGTGGAAGGTGTCCCTGCCCATAGCAGAAGGGTTGGAATGAGATGGTCCTTAAGGTCCCTTCCAACCCAAATCATTCTATGCTTCTATGATGCCAGAGTTGCTTGGACAGATGTATTAAATATTTAGATCTGCCTTTGTACCAAGATGAATTCACCTGGTCCTGTAAGCTAAGCTGTCCTGTGCCCTTTTCATCTTAAATTATGACAGACCACTTGGGAATGCCAACCTTTAAGGCTACGAGCCAGGGAGTCCAACTCAAACTCTCAGTTTCTCTGGTACAATATTTGCAGAGTGGTTAGAAAGTCTCCATGTGCTCCCTGGGCTTGTGCTGAGCTGTGAAGGAAAGGGGCTTGCTTTCAGAGGAAAAGACCAAGAGGTAGAAACTGCCACCCTGCTCACCACCTTGTAGGGGGGTTGGTATTTATAACCCTTGAGATTTACCTTGCTTTTCCAGTCTCTGCTGATTCTATGTCCTGGTTTCTCCAACCAGCACAAGCACAGTTGCAGATTCCTACCGCTGGGTGAATCACACAGTTGGCAACAAAACAGTTGTGGAAGAAGGGTATTACTATCTCAACAACTTTGACAACATTTTGAACAGCTTTGGTAAGGGCAGTTTTGTCTGTAGCAAAGATTATTCTGTGTTCCTGCAGAGCTGGATGGCTCTGTAATGCTGTAATGCTCATGTGAGCCTGGGACTCTCCAAGAGTCCTGCTAATGCACCTCAGGCACACAGCATCCTGCACTTTCTGTCTGGAGAACTCCAGCTGACTAATTGTGCCATGACTGTTTTGCAAGGTAGGCAGATGTCTCTTAAAGGCAGCTGGAAGCCATCAGATCTGTTCTTTCTGGTGAACAGACCAGACTTCCAGAGGTGTTTAAGGAGGGCATTAAGTCACTGCCCTTCTAAAGAACCAAAGTGATGCCAATACATTTCTCTAAACCCACTGATGAAGAATAATTTGAATGTGTTGATTGCTCTCCTTGATTTTTCTTATTGTGTGAGCAGAGATGCTTATGTCCTGGAGATTTCAGAGGTCTCCCTGCTCCCTAGTGAAGAGAGTCAGGTCTGTTTTCTGATTCTTTTATGAAATACAGATTGAGCCATGCTGCTCGTTCTGTGGGTCTGACCCCCTTTGTGTGAAGCAAAAATGAGGGTTTGTGTTGTGTCTCCAGATTTGCTGGCTGTCTTGAAACTTTGGTGTCTAAAAATCACTGTAAAATAGGTCAGGATGGATAAAGCAATTGTCTGTATGTTTTCTCTCCCTTCTGTACAGTCACACTGTTTGAGCTGACAGTTGTCAACGACTGGTACATCATCATGGTGAGTAAACCTCACCTACCCCGTGAGCTCAGACAGCACAGACTCTGCCAGTTCAGCTGGATTTTCCACATCACCACTGCTTCCTTCCCATGGTGATTGGAATGGGCTCAATATTGTCACTTGTTGCCGCTCAACGTTTGGTCCTGATTGTTGGGTGGCATTTGACCTCTGGGATGCTGCTGGGCACAGTTTCTTGTGAATCTTGACCAGCCTTCAGGCCACTTTTCATAGTCTGGACAGACGAAGTCGCTCTGTGCTCCAGTTGTCACCCTGCTGTCCCAGCTGTGTTCTCATGGCACAGTGGCTCTTACAGCCACAAGCCTTGAATGATCTGTGTGTTTGTATATAGGAACCTCTCCTTTTTAGCTTGAGGGGCAGCTTATCTGCAAGGACCAGCTGGGGCATTGAGCATTGCACAAGCAGTCCCTGGGGCCAACTGTGAAGCCAGGAAAGAGAGAGTGTGTTTATGCTGCTTTATGTCTGTTGTCTCTCCCTTCTTTTGTGCACTGGTGACGTCTTCCCTCTCCTCTTCAGGAAGGGGTGACATCCCAAACTACTCACTGGAGCCGTCTCTACTTCATGATCTTCTATATTGTGACCATGGTGGTGATGACAATCATTGTGGCTTTTATTCTGGATGCTTTTGTCTTCCGCATGAACTACACTCGGAAGAACCAAGATTCAGAAGGTCAGAACTGGGGGCTGGTTAACCTAAAACATTGTGTCTTCTCTCCCTGGTGCCTTATATCTGTAGGAGAGAATGGGATTGGCCAGCAAAGACCAGATATCTTATCTTACCCTGATATTATTATTCCTCAGCTAATTCTTCTGCTTTTGTGTGATATTTCTGTTTCGTCTTTCTGCTCTGGCCCTCATCTCTCCCCCAGCACTTCCCCAAAATGAGTGTGTGGGTGGATGTATGTGGTTTTATATATATATATGTGTGTGCACACCTACAAACTTCAACTGCTTGAGCCATTTCAACCAAATTACTTGAAAATTGGAAGTCTGTGTTCATTTCATGGAAGAACTCTAGGAAACATTACAGCAATGATGTAGCAAAGCTCAACAGCAAACCTTACAGGAAGATGACTTAATTTTTTTAAAACCAATTTCCCTTCCTCACTAATGTACTCTCTGGCAGCAGAACGTCTCCAAGTGGCTTTTCCAGCATCCAGGCTGATCCTGGTGGTTTGCCAGCATTCTTTGCCATGACATGGAGGACGACAGACACTGCCTATCCAATTCTTTCCACATCTCCCAGTGGTACTTAGACTGGTGCTGGTTTTGGACATGCTTTTCCATATCCTTTAGGAACTGGCAGTGACTGGTCTCTCTCCATCCCCTTGCCCCTGTGAACCATCACTTGTACTCCCTGTCTCCTGAACTGGGGGTCTGAAACTGCAGGTACCTTCATAACCTGCTAGTTTAGGTGCCAAAATCACTCTCATCTCTTGTAGCCCTTCTCCTGCTATTCCTTCAGGGAATCTGCACCCAGACTTGTCTGTTAATTTTCCATGTAGATTAATCTTAATAATTCTTAACACCTTTCTGCAGGAAGGAGCTATAGCTGCTACACTTACACATTTAACAGCAGAGAATCTTCCCTGCAGAAACGTGGTGAAGGCCCAGGACCCCAATTTTTTTGGGTTCCAGAAGATCAAATTTGTGTGGTGCATGGTAGGAGCCAGGAGTTGGAAACACTTGTCATTGTGATCCCTCTTGCACCCAGTTTGAAGGGAGCAGTGAAGGACATTGGTTAGCTCTGAACTCCCAAGCTCTTTTAGGCAGATGAAGGTCAAAAGGCAGCAACTCCTGTGTGATTATTTGCTTTCTTAATTTACAGGCAAGCAAAAAGCTACAAGATTTATTTTTTTTTTTAAGTTACTGAGGAGCCTGATGATTTAAAAAGTTGAGAAAATGGTTTGGGCCAGAAAGTTTGCTGGCCCTACACACTAGTTAACTTTTTCCCTGCCTTGCTGAGGGTCAAGGACATACATGTTCTAGTCACAAGAGCAGGTACAGGCTGTACCTGACCTCTGGCTCAGTCCTGTGTGCTTTAGGCTTTGCCTTCCAGGGTTATCAGAGTGGCTGATGAAGCAATGCTCATCTTGGAGACCTTTTTTTCCCCCTCTTTCTGTTTCTTGCCTGTCCAGAAGATAACGGCATTGTGCTGGAGAAGGAGATCTCCAAGGAGGAAGTGATTGGCGTCATCGAGCTGTACAAGAGGAGTTCAGCTGCCACTGAAACAGCTCAGCTGCAGAAGATCGTTTTGCAGATGGATAAATATGGGGTAGGAGGAAACTCTGCAAGTTCTCAGCTTCAGGAGAAGGGGGCATGCCAGGGCCACAAGTGCCTTTTGCTGTCTCAGGAGAGAAAATCCATGTGCCTTTGGGAGCTGAGCCACTGGAGGGACTCTCCAGCATCACAAAGTTTTGCTGCTCTAGAGAATTAGCAGCTGAGTCTCCCCTGCTCTCTGAACAGCCTTAGAAAGGGCTTGTCTCTAGTCCCTCTGAACTCCCCTTAGAGCTGTCCTGGCCCAGTGGTGACTGGAAAAAAAAGTATATTTATTTTTACATTGTCTTGTAATTCTCCTCTGTGCCATCATACACCGAGGCTTGGACAGCCCTGGAGAATTATGCAGCAATATGATGGCATCGATTCCAGGTTCTTTTCTCCATGGCACAGCTTACATTTTCATTCTAAAACGGGATGGATAATTGGGAGAATGAGCTCTTGTCTCAGATCTGTTGTCTCATGCATCTGGGAAGAGTTTAAGTGGTTGTTGTAATAATAGCCATTATATTCCTGTATCACTGTGACAAAGGGCAGGTGCTGCAGTCTCTCAGGTGACCTTTATTTGCTTTGATTGGCTTGGTAGTTACAGGCTGGGCCCTTGTTCACAGACAAAGCTCAGAATAGGGATGGAAATACTGATCAGAAGCAGTTTTAAAGACAATAATCCAAAGCAGGATGTTGTCCTCAGCCTTGCCATGACGATGCCAGACCTGAGGTTTCTTTTGCTTCTCAGTCCTGCTCATATAATTCATGTGGTCAGAGCGTAATTCTGACTTCAGCTCCCTGTTTACACAATTTCAGAGGTCCAGCCTCACGCAGTAAATGTTCTTAGATGAGATTCTCACTGGAAGGTTGGGTTTGAGCCTTGTTCCAGGCACTGATGTTGTGTTCATCTAACTCAATTAAGCACCACTGACAGACACATCCATCCGAGCTACGTCTCCCTCTGTAGTCTTTGGGGATCTGCTCAGTGTGATTAGTCTCAGCTGCAGTGGGTGCCTGCATTTGTACCATTGATGTGCACCCTAAAATGCCTTTTTCCCTTGACAAGAGAAGCCCAGGGCAGCCTGAGTTCATCAGTGGAATCATGAAGGATGCCTGAAGTTCCAGGACTGATCCTGTGAGCTGTTTGGTGACTGATTAATGTCTTTTTTGTTTTTTCCTCCCCCTTCCCCCAACTCTTCAGCAAATGTCAACAGTGTTTCTGGGACGCAGATCAAGGACCAAGAGTGATTTGAGTATGAAGATGTATGAGGAGGAGATACAGGTATGTGGGCCTGAGCTGGAGATATTAACAGGTCTCTGTGGTGAGCAAACCATTGCCTGGAATAACAAACCACCCCTCTAAACACAGGAGACTGCCTTCCTCCGGGAGCAGGCAGCTGTGAGAAGGGTGGGCGTCCAGGAAGTGTGGTTCAGATTGATCCATTCTTGCTCTCAGGGATTTTGTTGAACCACAGAGCACATCAGAGCCTCCTCAGTGGGTCCAGCTGGGCAGGTGTGTCACTGTAACCACACTCAGGGTGTATGCAGGCACTCCAGCTTGGCTGGAGCTCACCTGGGCTCCCCGGGTGTTTGCTGGGGCTGTGAGCACATGCCTGGTGCTGCCTGGGGCTTGGCTGCTGAGCACAGGGTTGCTAAACCCCTGGAATGTGTTTGAGCTTAGGCGTGTCTGTCTGACACAGAAACCAAGGGTCCTCCCAGGCAGCACTGCCTGGTTTGCCTTCAGAGTAGCAGGCTGAGCAAGATGGGAAACACGTTAATCAGCTGATTGCCTGGATAGTTTAGCACCTTCCTGCTTGTGCCCTCCGTGGTCAGGAGCTTTCTGCCATGGATTTGGCCACTGCCCTGCCAAAGGTAGTTGAAGGTCGTGGGCTAATTAGTACTGAAAGGATTAATCTTGTAACCATTTGAATCTGTCCTTTGTCCCCGGGCAGCCAGCTTGGGATGAGTCTTCAGTGTCCCTAAGGAAAATAAACATTTTTTTGAACATTATTTACCACGGGGCTGAGTGATCTGCAGAGAAGCTCCCTGCCTGTTCTTCTTGGTCTGTGATTCAGGGATGTGACATACTGTAACACAGGATTGGGAGCAGCTCTGCAAATCCCAGATATCACGGGAACATCGATACCAGAGCCCCTGGATGTTCAGGAGGGACATCCTGAGAGAGGGGTGTTTCCTTGCCCAGGTTTGCTTGGACTGTGGTTGGCAAGGTCTCAATGCATCACTCACAACTGGGCTGCAGTTAACAGGGTCGTTCCAGGAGTATCCAGGGCTTTGGAAAGAGCCCTCTGTGCCTGAACAAACGTGCCCTCCCATGGCAGAGTCACCCAAGGCCGGTGTGGGGCAGAGCCTGATCCCTGTGTGTTTGGTCTCCTGTTGCAGGAATGGTATGAGGAGCACTCCAGAAAAGAGGAATCTCAGACACCACTGCAAGAGCCTGCATCTGCTTCCAACAGCTCTCTGAAGCCCCTGAGCCTCCGACAACGCTCCCAGACTGTCATTTAGGCCTAGCTAACGCGAGCCGCCTTCTATGCAATAACCTAGAGTATCCCTCCACAGTGTATTTTGGGATGATGTATATAGACCTGTCAGTGTACTGGTTTAGAGTTCAAATCTCTTCCCCAGCAGTGGGTTGCTGAAAAAACCAGAGGCCCAGGGGGCTCTGTGTAAGGCTGCTGCACACAGGTTGAGCAGGGTGAACATTTTGGACAGAACAGAGCCCTTGTCCCTCTGAGCCACTTCCCAGGCTCCAGCCTGCTGCCTGTCTTACCACTAACAGACCGTGGGGAAAGGGATGTGTAACCTATTAACAGCAGGGAATTTGCTGAAGTCACCTGCTTAGTATTAAAATCTTGGCCCTTTTTGAAGATCCCTCTTGCTTAAAGGGTACCATTAACCTAGGAATAAAAGATCAGGGAGTGAGTTTTTCTTCTCCGCCTTCCTTATGCAAAGAAAGGGGAGGTGGTGCGAAATCTCAGCACTTTTGGAAGAGCAGACTGCCTTCCCCCTCCTTTTTGGCACACGTAGATGCACTCCCTGTAGTATCTCCAGCTCTGATTATTGAATTTACCTGTCCCTGAGCAGTTCTGAGGCAGAACCGAGGGCCAGCACCTCATCATGTTGTGACCATAGGTGGGACGGGGGATTGGGGACATGAACACTGTCTCTGCTGTAGCCATCCAGTATCTGTATTGCTGCTGGTCAGTCCTGCCCATGGCCCTGCCTGGGGCTGGGGTCTGCAAACCCCCAAGCTCCTGTCTCTGCTCTGGGGTGGGATTCTGCAGCACCATGTGGCTGTTGGCCTCTGCCACTTGGCCACCTGCTCTGCCAAGGGCAGACCTCTGGCTAGTCCTTAGCTCAGATGAATGACTGGGAGGAAGAAAGCAAGGCTTTTCAGCTCCAAGTCTGGCTTATTTCTGCCTAGCTCTGGGCTAAGGAGAGCTTCAAACAGTCCTGCTGGTTAGTGCTTAGCCAGGTCCTTGCTCTGTGCAGGTGAGAGTCCCAGCACCAGCAGTGTTGCTCCTCCCTTGCTCTCACCCCTGCAGAAATGTTCCTCAGGCCGGCAAACGTCGACTCAGTGGGATCTTGGGGAGATCCACTGAAGAGCTTTACCGTTCCCCTGAATTTTGGACACAGGTGGAATGTGGAAGATGATGACTCTTCTCGCCCATCAGCTTTTCTGCAGCTGGCAGGGAGGCTGCCAGACCTGGCAGCTGAGGGCTGGGAAGGAAGGGGGGAAAAGGGAATCCCTTCCCAGCTCTGCCACGTTTGTTGTGTGATCGTGGCAGGTTGTGTCATTGCTCATGTTTCATTTGAACCTGTCTCTCCAAGTCCCTCTTTTCCCTGTCTTTTTCCTGTCAGCACAGAAAGTGCTGAGGGATAGAAGTACCCAGCAGAGGTTCCCCTCACCTCTTGCTGTTTGGTCTTTCCTCAGGTTTGGACTAAGAGCAGAGCTTGCTGGGGAAGCTTTCTCCTTCCTCCGGGTACCTCAGGCAGTGGGAGATCTGTGTCCCCATTCCCCTTGTCCCACATCCCTGTGTTTTCCTCACCAAGTGGCACAAGGACAGTGGGAGAGGGCTGATCCTCCCCAGGCAGCTCAGGAGCATTTCCTGGGTGGATGAGACAGAGGTAGGCAAGAGAGAGCTGCTTCTGGAAATCTCTCACAGGACGGTGGGAGCTACGGGATGGAAGGAGTGGGTGAGCAGCTTTCCAGGCAGCACACACCAGTGGCTGCTCCCCAACCCTTGCCAAATTCCCTGGGTGCCTCTTGGCAACTCTTTGTTTCCTTTCTGGATATTTGCAGGTATGAAACAACTTCTGAACCATGAAGGACCTTAAAGGGCTGTTTTCCAAACCGTGAATTTGACCACAAATTAACGAGCAGTGCAGTTGTTGCTCTTGCAGTTGCTCTGCGTGGAGTCGCAGCCCAGGAGGTTTATCCAGATTAGTCCTGGGGCTGGAGGAGATGGTGTTTATTGTGCTTTAAGTTATGGGCAGGATGAGTGAGCATTGTGAAGGTTAGGGGGCGAAAAATGTGGCTGTGTTTAATCTCCACATTCCCCTGGCACATTCTCCTGGCAGGGCTGTCAGTGACTTTTTGTTTTGGGGGTGTTTTCTGGGTGTGAAAGGAGCTGTGGCTCTAAGCTACACTGAGGGGGGCACTGACCTGCTTATCATGCAATAACAGGGCTCTGTGGAGGGCTTGGGGTCAGGGCACAGGTGCTGCCTCTGTGGCTTCATGCCAAGGTGTTGATCCACCCCCACGCACCCACTGGGTTAATTATTTTTGTAAACCAAGGAGGGTGGCGGGAGTTTGCTTCTTCCAAATGACTTTGGAAGGAAACAAAGTTTGAGTACGGGGCATCCCCTTCTATTTATCCTCCTCTTTCCCCTCACCCACCCCAACACACAGACTAATGATGGAGACAATCATTTTGTAGGGAGCACGGGAGGAAGCACTGCAGGATTTTGTATGCTGGTGTTTTGTTTATAAAAACGATTTTATGGATATGTCTGTCAAATGTTCTCTAGATTTTTTTCAGGCGCACTAATAAAAAGCACCCTTGGCTTTGTAAAGGCAGCGGCTTCCTCTCCTCCTTCCCTGTGTTATTCCAGAAGTGGGGTTTGGCCAAGCTGAAGCATTTCCAGTGTTTGAAGAGGAGCACTGCCCGCCCTGCCCTCCCTCTCCAGTGGCAAGTGCTTGCATTGGGAATATTTTGCGTGCGTGCCCTGATGAACTGCTCTGAATTCCTGTTCCAAGACATTGCAAAGCCCGGCTTCCCTTCTGCCCTGCCCCTGCCAGTTTTTTTCCTAAACTTTAGACTAGTGCTTTCAGTTAAGGTTTTTAACTGCAGGGTTAAGGCCAGAAGGGGTGTTTGACCCTGTGCCTCCGTTGCGGAACGTTGGCCCCGCGGTTTCGATTGCTGTAGCCCTGCTGGGTGGAAGGAAGTGGGGGTTGTCTCCCGGATAATTCCGGAGCAGGTTCAGGGCAGAGCCGATAGCTGCACGCACAGGGAGCGTTATTTTTTGTGAAAGCCCTGGTTAGAAAAAGGAGAAATGCTGCAGGGCCAGGAGGCTGCTGGCACCCCCAGAGGGGAGCAGGGGCTGGGTCCGGCGGTTGTGCTGCTTGCACAACACCCCCTCTCTCCCGCGGGGCAGTGAGGTGTCCCTCTGGAACAGCACTTTGCTTTCCAGCCTGTGCTCTGTGGACCCTCCTAACTGGGAGCAGAACCACGAGCCCGCTCACTGTGCTCCTCCCCCGGGACCGCGGGCAGCCCCTTCCGTGTCCCTGTCCCCATGGACTGAGCAGTGCCTCTCGCTGCCCGTGCTGACCCCTGGCACGACCGTGACACATCGTTTCCCAACGTGAGGGGACATGTGACTGCTCTTGGGACAGCGGCTGCTGGTGAACCCAGAGGAAACCACTTTCCCAGACTCTGGGGAAAACCACCCTGGGTGGCCTGGGGTGTCACTCCCATCTCAGCCCCCGCTGTTCCCTCTGCCCTGCAAAGGCTCCATGCTGAGTAAGGGCTGTGTCACGCCAGCATAGGGCAAGAGAAATTGCCCTTGCAGCAAACAGAAGCCAAGACTGGGTGTGTGGGGTTTTTTATTGCAATTTTTTTACAGTGTCTAAGCCTAGTCCTGCCAGAGGCTAACACTGTGTCGAAACTTCCAGGTCCTTTCCTACAGCTCTACCCGCCCCAGGAGGAGGAGGAGGAGAAAAGTAGGATCTGAAACTCAGGTTGAAAAACATCACTAAAAAAAGCAGGGGAAACCAGCCTCCCTTGGTTTGGTGTTTGTTTTTCCTCCAGCTTTGCTTGCACTAAACCCAGCGCTGCCCTGGAGCGCTGACTCACCTCAGCCCTGTCTGGCTCTGCCCCAGCTGCTATTCCAGCCCCACGGTGCCAACATGGAGTGTCCTTTAAAAGGACAAACATGTGCTTGGACTTTCAGAGTTACCCTGTGTACACAACAGCCCCAGCCCTGTCCTGGACCAGCCGGATGGAGGTGAGGAGGGGAAGGTGAAGTGGTTGAGGAGGTAAAGCCCCTCTTGTTGTGCCCCCGAACTGGAGCTGCCCCATCCTCTGCCTCTGCCCCCAGGACTGGAGGCAGCCAAGGTCTCAACCTCGCTCCTGCCCAGGGCTGCCATGAGTTAAACAGATTAAACACAGCGAGCAGAGGATGTGGCCAGTGACTAACAACTCCTGTCTCTAACCACAGCCATCCTCTCTTCTAAAGTGAAGGCTGAGGGCTGGGCTGGCACCTCCAGCAGCTCAGCTGGGGTCAGGGTGCCCTTGACCCCCTGGCAGGGACAGGGGAGGGGCAGAGTGAGATCCAGGGCTGGATGTGATCCCCTGGGGTCAGTCAGAGGTGGAGAGATGGATCACCCTGAACTCGGTCAGCAGGGCCACGCAGAGGAACACCAGGTAGTAGGTGATGAGGCAGACGCCGTAGGCCTTGCCCAGCTGGAAGCACTGAGCTGGCACCGACACGAAGGAGAAGACCAGGCTCAGCCCCAGGGCCCCTGCCAGGACCCAGACCAGGAGGCTGTCGGGCTCCAGCTGCCAGAGAGATGGGGAGTGATGTGGGGTGACAGCGGGGTCCTGCTGCCAGCCTGACCCGTGTCACCATGTCACTGCAGCCTTACCTTCACCAGCGGCTGGCTGCTGCTCATCTGCAGCAGGCAGCCCAGTCCCACTCCAACCAGGATGTCTGGGGCACGTTCAGGATGGACACACAGCACAGGAGACCTTGAGGGAGTGACAGAACCAGCCACATCCCTCCCGCCCTGGGGAGGGGCACAGCACCAGCCTTCCTTGTCCTCCTCCTCCTCCTCCTTTCTGCACCCCATGGTTGTTGCCTGGCCCCAAAGCATCCCCCTGCTTGTGGTAAATACAACCTCGAGGAGGAGAGGCTTCAGCCTGGCCTGGGGACCCACCAGAGGGAGGCACAGGATCTGTCTTCCCCTCTTTCCCTTTGGCAAATCCCAAATTTGCCAGACTCCAGCCCAAACTCCTACCCTTCTGGGGCTGGGAGAGCCATGGGGACAGGTGGGTGCTGATGGCTCCATCCCTGCAGCTCACAAATACCACACCAGTCCCCCTGCACCACGAGGACATCGAGGAGGTTGCCAACATCACTGGGGCTCTGGGCTGGATCCTGCCCAGCTCCTCTCCAGGGGTCCCACAGGACCAGGGCCTCTCCTGGGCTGTAGACAGGGAAATTGAGGCAGCCCCTGCCCCTGGCACCCAAAGGATACTGAAGATGATGCCCCCGAAGCAGGCGGAGAAGGCCATGCGGGGATAGCCCTGCCGTGCCATGGTGAGGTCGGAGAAGGTGTCTGCAGAGGGAGAAGGGGAGATTTTGGGGGATGGCAGGGGGACCCCAGGGTGTGCCTGGGGGGCACTGGGGCACAGCAGAGCCCTCACCACCGATGCTGTTGCCCCAGGCCAGCAGTGTCAAGCCCAGCACGGTGTTGCTCAGCTGGAAAATGATGCCCAGGGTCCGCAGGATGTTCACCAGCTCTGTGGCTGCAGCGTTGATCCACATGGCACTGGCCAAAAACCCAAGGAAGGCAAATACCTGCCAGGAAGAGGTGCAAGCTGGGCCCTGGGTACATCCCACAGGGCCCTGGCTCCTGCTCTGCCCCCAGGACCCTCAGCCCAGACTGGAGCAGGCTGGGCTGGTCCCCGGCGGGTGTTCAGGGCTGGGGGACACCTTACACAGTGATACTTGGGTGGCTCCTCGTTGCTTGTGGTGATGAAGATGATGATGGCCAGGATAGAGCCAACCAGTGTGACCAGTCCCCAGACTGGGAAGACGCCCTGGATCTGGTACAGCCCATCTGCACGTGGTGGGGAGAGGGGACATCAGAGCGGCTGGGGCAGGATCCGACCAAACTCAAGGTAGGAGGTGAAGCCTTGTCGCCTAAAGCCACCTCTATCCTAAGCCCTCAGAGGGCCGCTCCCCTCAGTGCCTTAGTTTCTCCAGGCAGGCCAGGCCTGCTCCATTTTTAATCCAGGTCCCGGATGCTGGGGGGCCACCTCAGCCCTGTGAGGGTGCATCCAGCTGCAAACCAGCTGCAAACCAGGCCCCCAGCTTGGCTCTTCACTGACCATCCTCCCTCCCCATAACAGGGAGCCAACTCCAAGGGGCTCCTATAGTCCCCAGGGCTTTGGTGGCCATCTCAGTCCCATCCCCTCCTGGGAGTTGGGAATGCCCTGGACTCTTACAGGCGCCCGACTTCAGGGTGAGGATGCAGAGCAGGGGGCTGGTGAGGATGTGCAGGCAGTTGAGGGGTCTCTTCCAGTTCAGGTCATCCTTGTCAGGGTCCACAACGGGAACAGTGAGCAGCAGCACCAGCTCCACAGGCACCTGGGGTGAAGGACCCCCAAGCTGAGACACCCTGCGAGGTGCCCCGTGACCCATCCCCAACCCAGCACACATCCCACCATCCCCACTCCAAAGCCTGGGGGGGTGACACAGCTCCAAGGGCCAGCAGGGTTGGGGATGCCCCATCGGAGGGCTTCTCCTGGCTCATGTCCCCCCTACTCACCCTGAAGGCCTTGAAGAGCCGCCAGTACCAGGGCTTCCTCCTCCACTTGCGGTAGTCCAAGGGGCTGAGGGCCGTGGTGAGGATGCGCAGGGAGGTCTCCTGGGAGGGGAGCAGGGGCCGGTACTCCTCACCTGAGAGGGGTCACGGTGGCTGAGCAGGGTGAGGAAGGGTTGCCTGGGCTCCCCCAGCCCTTCCAGTGTGGGGCTGCAGCCCCCTGTGTACCTCCAGCAGGATCCACCTGCCCCAGGGCAGCACCCGGCCATGCCCACCCCACGGGCTCAGTCACACATGCAGCAGCCTGGGGGTCTCTGGGACCCCCGAGAACAGAGCCAGCCCCAAGCCCAGCAGGAAGAACATACCATAGTCACTGCTGTTTGTGCCTGAGGGCTCCGGCTCTTCGGAATCCGTCGGCATCTCTGCGGGGAGGAGGAGTGGAGGGGGACAGTGGAAGGACACCCCGACACACCCGGGGTCCCACCACAGCCAGGTGGCCCTTACCTGGCTCCCAGGGCCCGGGGGGGGCCGGCCCGTCCCCCCGCTGCCGCCGGTGGATCCAGGTGCAGAGCACCACGGTGACAACGTAGAACACGTACAGCCCCAGGTAACCTGGGAGGGGGCAGTGACGGGGGGGGTTATGGCACCCCCAGGCTGCTCCCACCACCCCCAGCCCCAGCACCCCCCCAGCGCTCACCCAGAGCCTCTCCCAGCCTGATCCTGCCGAAGTAGAGGACCATGAAGGTGAGGAAGACGGCCAACATGTAGAAGATGACATCCCTGAGGAAGGGCCTGGAGGCGGCTGTGAAGGGCTTGACCAGGGCGATGCCCCCGGCCACTACTGTGGTCACAAACACACCGGCACCTGCCAACGCCACGGGACCCTCTCAGCGGGTGGGAACATCCCACGGCTCCGCAATGTCCCCCCCAAACACGGGTCCCAAGCCAGCAGCTCGCAGAGAGGAGCTGGCAGTGGGGGTCCCCTTACCGAAGATGGCCCCGATGGCCAGCCCTGCTGTCCGGGGGTCGGAGAAAGCCACCACGGCACTGAAGACATCCGGCGCCCCATTTCCAAAGGCCAGGAAGGTGACACCATGGAGAGGGCACGTCAAGGAAAAGGCCTGGGGGTCTCTTCCCCTGGGGGGACGCAGGGGGGCTGTGCATTCCTGCCCAGTGCCAGCACTCAACCGCTTGTCCCAGTGCCACCTCCAGGCTCACGCTCCATTGATTTCCCCTGGCATGGTGCCAAGGGGACACAAAGTGACCCCATCACAGCCACCTCCTCTGCCCCGTCCCCACATCCCCCCCTCCCTGGACGAGGTCCCATGTGATTCGCCAAGGATACTGCCACGTTGTGGGACAGCTTCAGGTTGGTGGAGATGGCCGACAAGTTGGGGCAGAAGCTGGAAAGGCAGAGAAGGAGGTGGAGGGGGTTGACGGGGCTGCTCGGGGACCACGGGGCTCCCGCTCGCCCTGGGGACTGTCCCCTCCTCTGCGGGGCCACTCACAACTTCTCTGCTGTCACACCGAGGATGATGAACAGGTACAGCAGCCAGAAAGCCTGTGGGGTCAGGGGTGGCACAGAGAGGGGTCAGTGGGATCCCCACCCCACGCCCCCACAGCAGAGCATCCCCCAGCACCACCCTGCTCCCGTCCTTACGTAGAGGGTGACAGCGAGGGGCAGCAGCCGGGGGGGGAAGACGCAGAAGACCCCATTGAGGTAGTCGAGGAAGCCCCCGTCCATCCGGCAGTCGGGGTTGGATCGGATGAAGCGGCACCACTCGGAGCTGTTCTGTTTCCGAACCTCCCAGCACTGCGGGGCAGAGCGGGGACTGCTCAGCCGGGTTCCCCGAGCCCCTCCCCACCTCGAGCACCCCCTGCCCCCCCGAGGGCTGCCATCGGGCACCCTGAGGTGCACTGCCCACCCCGAGCACCCTCCACTCCCCACATCGGGCACCCTGCCCCTCCGTGGGGCTGCTTTCGGCAGGTCACCGTCACCCCTGCCTTAGTTACCCTGTCTGTGCTACATGTGCGTGGGTCAAGGGCTGTGCCAGGGCCAGCAGGGGTGGAAGCCCTTGCCCACTCCCTTGTCCTTGTCCCCACACAGCCTCCACCCAATCCCGGCTATGGGAAGGCGCCGGCCTGGCAGGCGGCGAGGTTTTAGGAGGAGAAAACCAGCAGCGGAGGAAATCCTGGTGAGGTCCCAACTGCGATGGCGGGGACAGGGCAATCGGGGACGGGACGGGACGGGATCCCACTACCCCGGCAGCACCCAAATCCCTCCCGCTTCCCCCCAAACCCCACCGCAGCCCCCAGACTCACATCCAGGCCCCGTCCGTGGCTCAGAGCATCCCCCCCGGGAGAGACCGTGCGCCCCACGTCCAGCAGCAGCGGGGTCCCGGCTGGTTGTGCCCCGGCCAGGCTGAGCACCCCGGCCAGCCCCGCGGCCCCCTGCCCCATGGCCCCCTGCCCCATGGCGGGGGGCAGCACCGGGGGGCACCTACCGCCGGCAGCAGCCCCCGAGGGGAGCGATCGGGGACTGCTCCCGCACCCCCATCCCGCGCTCCACGTGCGGGGCGAGGAGGGGTTAAAAATTAACAATAAAACCCAGAAATTATTATTTAAAATAAAAAGAATAAAAAGGATAGAAGGCAGAGCCCCCCGCGGGCAGGCTGAGCCCTCGCCGCCCCGCCACGTCCCCGCCGGGGGGGGTGCTCAGCCCCGGGGCCGCCCCGAGCTCAGGGAGATGGGGGTGGGCACCCACACCCCAGGCAGGATCAGGGGACCTGGGGGCACCCCCCAAAGCGGAGGGAGGGGGACGGAGAGACCCCGATGCGGGGGGGGACGGGGACCCCGAGGGGTGGGGGATACCGGGCGGGGATGCAGGGGGATGGATGCGGGGGTACCCGGGGACCCCACCCGCGGCGCGGACCCACCGTGTCGGCGCGGCCCCGCTGCCGTGCGCGGGCAGCTGATCCCCTCCGCGCCCCCCCCGCCTTAAAGGGGCCGCCACCCTTCGCCCTTAAAGCGACAGCGGCACTTTCCCACGCTGGTGGCGGGGTGGTAGCGGAGGGGGGACACGCGCGACTCTCTGCCCCATCCCGTCCCTCTCAAGCCGGGACACCCATCCTGGGTGCTGCGCCCACCTACAGCCCCCTTTGGGGTGACTCTCTGAGAGCGGGCGAACTCATCGCAGGCACGGCCGGGGATGGTGTCCCGGGGCTGCGCAGACCCACCCCCGTGCCGGTGGCTCGAGACAGAGGGGCCAGGGGTGCTGCCGGTGCCCCTCTCCGCCCCGGTGTCCCCCTCTCCGGGACACCCCAGCCTCAACCCTGCCCTGTGCAAGACCCCGAGCCGTGTTTCTGGGGGGAGGATGTGCAGCTTAGCCCCCACGGCTGGAGCCCCCACATCCTGATGGGATGCAAGGATCCATGTCCCACCCTGGCCAGTCTCCTCAAAGTCGCATTCTGCCCTTCTTCCCGGGGAGAGAGGAAAGGAAGGAAAATAAAAAATATAGGCAGTGCCCAGCCGGGAGCGTCTCCCAGGGGTTCCCAGGTCCCCCCGCTACCCAAAGACCAGTGGCACCCACTGGTGGAAGCCTTGGCCCCGCCAGGAGCTGGCCCGGGGCATGGCCCCCAGACCCCGCTGGGACAGGGATGCTTTCACAGTCGGTTTTTCTGGTTTTAGGCCAAATTTGGGTGCTTGCCGCGTGCCCCTGTGCTCCCCTCTTGGCTTCTGCACCCACGAGTGGCCGCGTCCGGGTGCCCGGGGTGGTCTCACACAGCGCTGAGCACAGGAGCGGGGACATGTGGGCACCACTGGGAAATTAACCGCAGCAACTGGGAGCTGGTGGGACGTGCTGGGCCACCATGTGCCCACACGAGCGGTGCCTTTGAGGTGCCGCCCTGCCCAGAACAGCCCCGGGCGTGTGGCATCTTTTCCACCCCCACTGGGGGACTCTCCGGGGGGGCTGTGTGCAGCCCACCGTGACTTTACCACGCAAGGCCGAGCCTTCTATCCCCGCCCCCCACACCTGCTCCGCAGGGAGACTTTGCCCGCCGGAAAAGGAGGAGGAGGAGGAGGAGGAGCGGGAGGCGGTAAACAGGCGCCGCCTGCGATTGCACAAGGAGGGGCTGCGGCGGGGCTGGGGCCCACAGGGGGACCAGCACCTCGTGTGTCCCCCTGCCCCGAACCCCCGTGGGGCCCAGTCCCCCCGCACCAGCCCCAGATTTCACGAGCCGCTCTTCGCGGGCTGCACCGGCTGGGGCTGGACCCCACAGGGTCATGTGTGGTACTCAATGGTGGGACATGGCTGGGGCTGGGGGGGCGACCTGCACACATCTCCCGTGGGCGTTGGGGGGCGTTGAAATGGGGGCGTGGATATGAGCGTGGGGTCGTGGGGGAGTACGATAGGAGGGACGTGGGTTGTTCAGGGGCTGCGAGGGTCCCCAGCTCCGCAGAGCCGGCTGACGGGACCAAGGTCACGCCACCAGACACGCCCCAAAATCCGCCCCTACGCGACGTTCATCCCACGGAGGGCTCGCTGGGGGCGTGGTCACTCGAACGCCCCGCCCCAACCGGACACGCCCCATCACGCCCCATCCAAGCCCCGCCCCCAGCCCACCCCATTCATGCCATGGCGGGACGGCCGAAGGGGGCGGGACTAAGTTTAAGCCCCATTCGCCGCACCCAGGCCCCGCCCCGTTCGCCCCGCCCCGCGGCGTCCCCGCCATGGCGGCCCCGCAGGCGCTGCTGGCGGCGGCCCTGCTGTCCCCGCTCCTCTCCTCGCTCCTCTCCGCCGGACCGGCCGGGGCAGCCCCCGCCCCGGCTCCCCGCAATGTCTCCGTGCTGCTGGAGCCCGGCTCCGGGCAGCTGCGTGTCCTGCCCGGTCGCCTCCCCGCCGCCGTGGCCTGGGCCAGCCTCGATGACCGCATCCCCCACGTCGGGTAGGGACGGCACGGGCTGACCCGGGTAGGGACGGGTCAGCCCGTGCGGGAGCCGAGCGGGGATGGGTGGTGGGGCTGACCCGGGTGGGACGGGACGGGGGTGGCATGGAGCCGAGCGGGGATGGGTGTCGGGGCTGCCCCGGGGGAGCCTCGTCCCACCCATCACCCACCCTTGACCGTCCTCCGTGACCGTGTCCCCCCCAGCTGGGCCTTCCTCGAGGTGACCACCAACGCCTCGTACAATGACAGCCTGCAGGCCTACGCTGCCGGGCTCGCCGAGGCCGCTGTCACCGAGCAGGTAAGGGGTGACCCCTCCAAAAATGGGGCCCTGGAGGACATGTCCCGTTCCCTTCCCTCTTTCCCCGGCTGTCCCCCGCCGGTGACGCCACGCTGTGCCCCCCAGCTGATGTACATGCACTGGATGAACACCATGGTGGGCTACTGCGGCCCCTTCAAGTACGAGAGCGAGTACTGCCAGAAGCTCCGGGACTACCTGGAGGCCAACCTGGGCTGGATGGAGGAGCAGATGGGGAAGGGGCAGGACCCCGAGTACTGGCACCAGGTGAGGATGGGGTACCCCCACCCCAGGAGAACCCCACTGCATCCTCCTGGGATAGCTGGGGCTTCAATTCAGAGGAGGGGACAGGGCAGTGAGATGTCCTGGCTGGGCTCCAGGCAGGATGACAGGGATGTGGCCACGTGGATCCTCCTCCCTGGGGTGAGAAGAAGCGACTCGTGACTTTCTCAGTGCTGGAGCTTCACGTGCTGCCTTTGGGGTGCCCAGAGGGTGACTTGGCCACCCTTGGGTATGGGTGCTGAGTCATGACCTTGCTGACAGTGACACTTCCCCCTGTGCCTCTTCCTGCCTCTGCAGCAGCACTGGGACCCACCGGATCTGCTGCATCCCCTGGGGAATGGGGGAGCCCATCCCCCAAAATCTCTCACCCCTCTTCCTCGGGGAAGCCGGGTGCCAGCTCTGTCCCCTGTCCCCAGGTGCGCCTGGCCCTGCTGCAGCTGAAGGGGCTGGAGGACAGCTACAACAGGCGCCTGGACTTCCCCCGGGGCAGGTTCACCCTGGCGCCCTTTGGCTTCCTGTAAGCTCCTTCTTGGAGGTGGTGGAGAGTGGGAGGTGGTTGTCTCAAGGTGTGGCTGGGGTGTCCTGTGGGGACAATTCCTGCATGTCCAGGGACAGCCAGTTCTGCTCCCAGTTCACCTCATCCGTGTTCTGTGGGTGCTTGTCCTCTGCTGCTGGGGCAGGATGGAGCCAAGGCAGTTTCTCCTCCTCCCCACACCATGGTCTGGGTGATGGGTCCCCCCACAGCTCCTGCCTCAGTTTCCCCACTGCTGTGCTCACCCTTCCCTCCCTGATCTGGCCAAGGTGCTCCCAGCACAAGCACCTGCATTAGTGTGGGATGAATAAGCAGCTTCAGCCTGGATGGGCAGACAGACAGAGAGCTCTGAGCCAGCTCAGCTCATGTGCTGGGGTGTCCCCCACCTGATACCTCATATATCTTGCTTCCCCTCAGGCTGCTGCAGTTGGGGGGTGACCTGGAGGACCTGGAGTCTGCCCTGAACCGCTCCTCCCTGCAGCGTGTTCTGGGCTCAGGCTCCTGCTCTGCCCTGGTAAAGCTGCTGCCGGGCAATCGGGATCTCCTGGTGGCCCACGACACCTGGAACTCCTACCAGTCCATGCTGCGCCTCATCAAGAAGTACACGCTGCCCTTCCGCACCTCAGCCGGCGGTGCGTGGGCTGGGCTGGGGGGGCTGCGCCTCACATCCCCCTTCTGATGCTCCCCTGCCTCTGCATCCCCCCTCCAGGCAAATCTCAGATCCCCGGGAGCATCCAGGTGTTTTCCTCCTACCCCGGCACCATCTTCTCCGCGGATGATTTCTACATCCTCAGCAGTGGGTTGGTGAGTGGGTGTGGTGCTCAGGGACCCCTCCCCGGCCCTGCTGCCCTGCCCCTCACTGCCCTCCCCGCAGGTAGCGCTGGAAACCACCATTGGGAACAACAACCCAGCGCGGTGGAAGTACCTGGACCCGCGGGGCAGCGTCCTGGAGTGGCTGAGGAACATCGTGGCCAACCGGCTGGCCCGCAGCGGGCCCGAGTGGGCCACTGTCTTCCGGCGGTTCAACAGCGGCACGTGAGTGGGGTGGGATGGGGCACGGGAATTTATCCCCAGGGCAAGGTGGGACTGGATGGAGAGTCCCTGGGAGGAAGCTGGCTGCCAGAGGGATGCAATTCCTGTTCTCCGTGCCAGTTACAACAACCAGTGGATGGTGGTGGACTACAATGCCTTCACGCCGGGCAGAGCGAGCCCATCACCAGGCGTGCTGACCGTGCTGGAGCAGATCCCGTGAGTGACCCTGTTCCTCCCTGAGCAGCAGCTCCTGCACTGAGCTGAACCACAGTGGAAGCATCTCCTCTCCCATCCCTGTGGGTTTGGGAAAGCCCTGAGGGTCATGTCTGCCCCAGCCCATTGGGTGGGCATTGGGAAATGGAGATGTGGCTAAAGGCTGTGGGGATGCCTGTGTAGAGGTGATGGGTGCCCAGCACCCCTGACTGGAGTGGGAACACGGTAAGGACCCCCAGCATGTGTCCCAGCCCATCCTAAGGCATCTGGATCTTTCCCCTCTGCTCTGACTGATGCTCTTCCGCCCGGTGCAGGGGCCTGGTGGTGGAGGCTGATCTGACAGAGCTGCTGTACCAGCAGGGCTACTGGGCCAGCTACAACGTACCGTGAGTACCATCCACCCCATCCCACCCATGGCTGCCCCATAAGGGGGGGCAGCAGTGCTGGGCCTTGCCCCCCACCCCTCTGTTGAGTGCTGACTCGCTGGGTCCCCCCTACCCCAGGTACTTTGAGGAGATCTTCAATGCCAGCGGGAACCTGGAGCTGGTGAGGAAGTATGGAGACTGGTTCACCTACGACAAGAACCCGCGGGCCCAGATCTTCCGCCGGAACCAGACGCTGGTCCATGACCTGGACTCCATGATCCGCCTCATGAGGTCTGTGCTGGGGACCCCCCCAAACCCGGGTGTTCCACACCCCCCAGGGGTTTGCGACCCTTGGATGTGATATCTTTTCATCGTTGTAAATTTATGTCTTCCCCGTGACTCTGTCCTGGCCCCTCTCCTGGCAGGTCCAACAACTACCTGCAGGACCCTCTGTCTCGGTGCAGGGGCTGTGACCCCCCCCAGAACGCTGAGAATGCCATTTCTGCCCGCTCTGACCTCAACCCCCCCAACGGCACCTACCCCTTCCCTGCCCTGCGCCAGCGCTGCCACGGCGGCACCGACATGAAGGTGGGGGATCCAGGCAGCCCCATTAGAGGGGGATCTCCTCTTGGGGGGAGCACCCCCCCCCCGCGAGAGCTCCCCCAGGATGTGCTGCCCGTTCCCCTGTGCTGATTCACACCTTGTTTTGTCTCCCCGGCTCCAGGTCACCTCCTCGGGCATGGTCCCCTCCTTTGGGCTGGTGGCTGCCAGTGGCCCCACGTGGGATGA